CCTTTGCTACCCCACCCGCTACTCGGGAAACAGAAGGAAATCGCACTCAACACACTTGTGTGTTGGTGCCTTTCCTTCTGTTTCTCCTAGCTATTGCTAGCTACCCGGGCGGTTTAAGACGAATGTCCCGCTCGCCTTCTACTTTCGTTTAACTAAGTGGGCCTCGAAACTACCCTACTTTTCTTTCTTGCCCTCTTAGTCTGCTCTTGTTTCGTTGCTTTTTCTGTCTTTCTAAGGCTTTTTAGGTGTCTACTAGTTCTTCGTTGCGCCAACAATTTGGCGCTTTTTGTACAAATGTTCCCCTGGGAGTTAGGACGCTACTGGAGGCCCCTGGCCTTACTACTACTTTGACCGCGCCGAAAACGGCTCTGTGTGTGTGTCCACCCCTGGGCAAAAGGTTTTCGTCCACTGGTTCAACGGTAGGGGGTGTCTTGAAAAAGCGCCGAAGCCGGCGACTTGTGTGTGTCCACCCCTGGACAAAGGGTTTCCTTCGACCACTCCAATCAGGCAGGGGCGTGTGGCCTTCTTGTCCTACCACACGCAATGAAGCTGTGGACAAGAAGGGGAAGCAGGGACTGATCATCCCTGTGTACCTGCACCTTCAACTGTTGACCAAGCTTTTCCACTCTCGATTTGATTCATGGTGGTTTCCATGGGACTTTCCCCACCAACAGGTTTCCCACAGCCACTTTTGCAGCTGAGTTGCGCCGCTTCGTCACTGCAGTCAAGGGAAACAGCTTTTGTTCAAACACCTACAATTGTCTCAGACTTTCCGCCATGCTGTTCCACCGCCTTTCTTCCCAACGTGACAATTGCGTTAACTGAAAACCAGTGTCAGAGTGTGATGCAACATTGGGATGCTGCCCAGGTCTACATCTTCCTCTCCCTCTCGGTCTACATCCTGGGCTTGCTACTGCTGGCTTTGCCTTCCCATCCTGGTGCTTTTTTGGTGCGTGTGGCCAATATCTTCGCCTCACTAGGTCACTGGTTGGATGCGTTGTTGGATGGTTTCCACATGTGATTGACTGGATCAGTTCCAAACCTTTGGAGGAAGTATATCGTTGGATCATGTTGGATCCTTAGATATATAGTTAGATCCTCAGGGCTAAGGTATCAATGATGGTGACTGACAAACCTCATGTGGACGATTGATAAATCAAAGCCCACCATCGGAAGAGGTTTTACAATCCAAATTGGAGGCGATATTAATCATCAGTCTAGTCTACATTACTTCTTTTTCCTTCGATTCACTGGTCGACTGGCAAGGGTCGCTGTGGTTTGGGTGGCTTTCGCGACTGGGCTTGGTGTCAGATGGATGCAACTGACAGGCAGCTCCCTATGATCTAACTCACCCAAAGAGCTTCAATGAAGTTAAAGTGATGTACTACCTACCACCACCAGATAGCCACATTGACAATTGACATTTGGCATGAACCATCATTGAACCACAATGTTGATGGAATATTGGGTTGTTTTTGATGTATACCAACCACTGTCAAGAACCCTATCCTTGCAAACTACGCCTCACAATGCCTCACATGAAACATACTCTTTAAAGCAGACCTTTCATTTTGACGTGATGGATGGGCCGTCTTCGATCCAAGTCACGAGATGGGAGAACTGTGATCAGCCGATGATGGCTGCTCCTAGTTGTTGGCCGATGGCCTATGCAAAGCATGCACCACTGATTCAACACTTGCAACATGGGCCATGTACTCATAGGAACGGCTCACAGGACGTGTCTGTGCTTCCTAGTGAAACGCACCGAAAAGCACATACCATCTCAAGCAGTCCACAAAGGGGAAGAGGACGGTGTGAAAAGCGGTTGGTATTGGACCAAGGCGGTCCAAGGCAGACCAAACCAACAAGGGGGTACCTTAATCACGCGACATATATGTGAATATTGGGTTTGTCCGAACTTACTTGCAACAGTAAGTAAACAAGCAAATCACCATGTTTGAACAAGGCCTTTACTAACCATCATCATCCACTGTTACTGGTAATATGACAGACCCAATGTGAATACATTATATATATAGAGAGAGAGAACCTCCTTTGCAGTCCTTAAGTCCTTGAACTTCACTACTCTGTGTAGTTACACGGGTCCGCGCCAACCAATGGCTTTCCTCCAAAAGCCAATTTGACTGTGCCAAAACGACGCCTGCGGCACCGCAGCAGAACCGGCAGTAGGCTATGGCGGACTGCTGGGCATTGTCCCACCAGCCTTGCGTGTGACCTTCGGCACGCAACACCTGGGCATCATCTACGGGCTCCTGCGGCGTGGCCCAAACACCCAGGAAGGAACCAGTGGACCAAGGGAAAGTGGGCGTCCCCCACGTGTCAACCGAAGAAGAGGTGTCACCTCACGTGAACCTTTGCCGGGATCTCCGACGCGGGAGTCAGCCAAAAGAGGCTCTCTCAATGAAACGGTTGTGACCTGGTGCGGCGTTGTTGTTCCTTTAAAAATTTGTTTCATTAAAAACAAAAACGCAACAAAAACGCACACACTTTTCATCAACAGTTGGTATCATCAAAATGCATGATTTGTTTTCATGATTTGGACATATTTTGTGACAGTTGCGGTCGTTTGCGCTCGCCTCAAGAGACTCCACCAATCGCACTCACCTGATCATTGCGGCCGTGATCACGTGGGAAGACTCTTGGGGCCCGGCCCATTTAGCTCCTAGTAGCTTCTTGCTCCTGCCAAGATACGTGGGCGTTGCCGTCTTCGAGCCCTTGTGGGGTCTTCTCTTCCAAAAGCCCCAGAACTGCAGCGGCGTCGAGTGCTACAATCTCTACACCAGGCGCCCCGGCCGCTCCTGCCAGGGCTCTTAGGGTGTGAAGCATTGACGAGAAACAGCTTTGGCGAATGGATCCTGTTTCAGAACAGGTGCTGGAATGTATGGCCTCACATGGGTTGGAATGACACTTGTGAAACCATATACAGCGTTCATAACACGCATTCATATTGGAACAGGGGTATGGTTGGTTTCAGGCACCTCCATAAATTCAGGGTTCTTCCATAATTCCCAGGGACCTTTGTAGCAAACGATGTGATGTTCAAAGATATTGCATGTGTTACCCAACCATTCTTTGAGCAGGGTCGCCGGCGCTGAACTTGTTCTTCACGCTGATCGCGGTGCCACATTTGGAAAATCACCAGGGCTTCCATGCCTAGAACGTGTTTTGATCATCATCATCATCATCATCATCATCATCATCATCATCATCATCATCATCATCATCATCATCATC